TTAAGTTCACCTGCTGTAGTAAAATGATTATGTTGCAGAATTTTTCCAATATGGCGACGTTGATTTGAGGCCAATTTTCTTGGACGGCCAGAAGAGTGACTGATTGAAATATTGCCAGTTTTATTTAGCAAACTGACATATCGTTCACATGTGCGCAAAGGAATGCATAATCGTTTAGAAATTTCCTTTGCATTATGCACTCTTTGATCCCAAAGTGACTTAACGGAGTTTCGTTGTATTTCTAAAGAGCTTAGCATAGTTTCAGAGATAAAATCAAAATAAAAACAAATAACAAACCTTATTTTTTTAATATACCTTTTAAATTCTGATTTCAATGTCCGATTTGGGTATATAATCAATGCTTAATTCCGAAAAGCGGTAAATCCATAGCATAAAAATTGATGCAAATTTTATCGCTATTCTTTTCACCAGGGACTGTAATTGCTTATTTGTCGTTTTAATCGTAGAACTCATGTTTGATCCTGAAATTCAAACAATTGTACTTTCTGGTAAATTGATAATCAAGCGAATGATTGATCAGGATGAACAGCAGAAAAAGACATTGGATGAAAATCATGAATTAGATGAAAATGAGATTAGTTATGAGAATACAGATGATTAATTACTAAATGTATACATGGAAATTTTTAATAATTCGGAGAGGTATATTTTTTATTTTTTAGCAATTAAATAAATAAATTATATGCTATACTTTGCGAAAATCAATATTTATTAAATGTTTATTATTAATGTACTGCAATAATTTGTAATAATCATCAATTAAATGCTCATTGGTTGTATCAACGAATGGTATATGTGCATTGATGTATATTAAAGACTGATTTACATCAGATTATACATCAATTTAAAAACTTACTGATATTGTGCTACTAAATTAATTACATAAGCAATACATCAAATACTAAAATTATGTGGATATAATAAACTAATTTTATTACGTGCAAGTTTAACATTAGTACCATTATCACTAATAATTGCTGAAAATTGATTAGGTTCAACTGCTTTTAAAACACTTGATATTTAATCTGCAATAAATTCTCCTGTATGTGATTCATCAGAAAAATCACATAATTAATATAATATTTTTTGCGTTCAGGTGTTATAATAATAAAATTCCAATAAGAATGATTTTTTCCACTACTCCAACCATCTAAAACTAAAA